AGAAAGGCGTCCTAATCGCCTACGTCATGTTCTCTTCCAACCACTTCCGTTTCCGGCCCCGCCCGCACAAAACGCGCCGGGCCCCGCCCCCGGCCGCTCCCATGGTGCCGCTGGCCCCGCGGTGGCCGATGGGAGATGTTGGCTGGGGCGTACCACATCTCCCACAAGCCCCCGCGGCGCGACTCCTCCCTCTCCTCCACCCCGAGCGGGACTCAGCTGGGCCCATGGTGGTTGGAGGGGCTGGGGGACAATGGGGGGGGGCAGAGGGATCGGGCCTCCGGCAGTGCTGGGATGGGGGGCCTGGGGCGAGGCCCAGAGGAGTTGGGGGGGGCAGGTGGGTTTAGGAGCCGGGGTGGGAGGAGTGAGGGGGAGAAGAGGGGATTTGCGATGAAGAGGAGAGGGGGGCAGATGTCCGGGGGGGAGGGTTAGGGGGCTTGAGCTAGGTGAGTGGGGGACGGTGTGAGGGCCTGGGGGGTGGGGGAGTAGGAGCTGAAGTGGTTTCTGAGGAGGAAACTGAGGCACTTAAACCAGGGAGGAGAAGCAAAGTTGGGGGGGGATGGCTAAGGGTGCCCCCCTGTAACCTACTGTCCCCAGTCCCAGCCGGGGTGACCCATCCCCATCACTGAGAGGTTGGCTGCTCTCCCTGGCAGCACAGCTCACGGATGCTCCCTGTGTGACGCACTGTTGCACATACAGAGGGCACGTCTCATTCTCACCTCCTGCTGGCAGCTCAAAGTTTCTGGCTCCTCCCTCCACGGTGGGAGAAAGCACAAAACACTCCATCTCCCATGCCACCTCCACAGTCCAAAAAGCGTTGTAGGCGAAGACACCCTAACTCTCTTACCCTTTTCTCCTCGATCCAAACACCTGCTTAGTGCCTGGCCCCTGCTGTGACATTTCAACAGAGAGATGGGGCAAAAGAATACCTGCAAAAATCCTGGGATCTCTCTCCTCCCGCACGATACATGTGGTTCAGAGTGAAGGGAAAGGGGAGTAACCTGCCCCCTCTTCCCACATGTTTAGTAGTTTGTGATGTAAAAAAAGCTGCTGTGACAGTACACATGGAGAAACAGATCTTTCTATAGATGATGATATAAAATTATTCTACTTAACTGCCAGGGGGCAAATTTGTCACGTACACATGGGAGAAAGAAGAAGGAAAAAATGCAGGGTCAGCAATAGGTAGTCAGGAAGTTCCTTCGAGAGGAAATGTAGCCAAACTCCAAACCTGCAGACAATGGAACTTTCTGTGCCTGTATCCTGGAGATAACTAACTGCTTGTTTTTGCAACTGTCATAGAAATTTCTGTTCGTTCCAGCTGAGGAATAAGGAGAGACGGACACATCTAATCAAGCAAGGAGCCCCGGGAGGGGCGATCCGTTTATTTCAATTGCAATTGGGTTCGAGCTCATAAGTCAGCAAGAACAAAGAAAACACTTACACCAAAGCATTATATGCAGTTGACTATGATAATCTATTGCTTTATGATTGGCCAAAATTTGCCATCATTATCATACATAATTAGCAAGCTACATGTATCTGCCCCTGTTATGACCCCTTATTGTTCATCTACTTTCCCCCTCCTCCTTGCTTATTTTGCAAACCAAGCAGTTTATCTACAGGACACAGGCACAGAAAGTTTCATTGTCTGCAGGTTTGGAGTTTGGCTACATTTCCTCTCGAAGGAACTTCCTGAGTTAAGACATAGCAATAGCTGTGCTATATATCTTCCATGTGTACGTGACAAATTTGCCCCCTGGCAGTTAAGCAGAATAATTTTATATCACAATTGAAATAAACGTCTTGCCCCTCCCGGGGCTCCTTGCTTGGCTAGCTGTGTCCGTCTCTCCTTATTCCTCAGCTGGAACGGACAGGAATTTCTACCACAATGATTACAGAGAGTAAGTGGCACTGTTATACAAAGGTGCGTTGGAGTTAGAGATGCTAGAATGCACAGTCCACCACTGCACATTTCCTCCCTCCATTTCCCATTGTGGGGCAGGGAGACCAGAGCCCCATCTGGGCTCCCCTCCATTTCCCCAACCAGCTCTGAACTGAAATTCTCCAGCCCCTCCTCTGGCCTTTGTCTCTTTCCCGGGCCAGGAGGTCACCTGATCTCTTTGTTCTCCAATATCTTCAGTTTCTGTAAAGGGAAATTGTTTTACTAATCTGGGGTGGCCAACCTGAGCCTGAGAAGGAGACAGAATTTACCAGTGTACATTGCCGAAGAGCCACAGGAATGCGTCAGCAGCCCCCCATCAGCTCTCCCCTGCTCCCAGTGCCTCCTGCCCACCAGCTGCCCAGTCGATCAGCGCGTCCCCATCCCCCCTGATCAGCTAGTTTGTGGCATGCAGGAAGCTCGGGGGGGAGGATCGAGGGCATGGCTGGCTCAGGGGAGGGGGCGGGAAGGGGTGGAGTGGGGGCTGGGCCTGTGGCAGAGCCAGGGGTTGAACAGTGAGCACCCCCCGGCACATTGGAAAGTTGGCACCTGTAGCTCCAGCTCCGGAGTTGGTGCCTATACAAGGAGCCACATATTTAACTTCTGAAGAGCCGCACGTGGCTCCAGAGCCACAGGTTGGCCACCCCTGTACTAATCTAATAGAGTTCTCCAAGGGGGTCAACAAACATGTGGATAAGGGGGAATCCAGGGGACATAGTGTACTTAGATTTCCAGAAAGCCTTTGACAAGGTCCCTCACCAAAGGCTCTTATGTAAATTAAGTTGTCATGGGATAAGAGGGAAGATCCTTTCATAGACTGAGAACTGGTTAAAAGACAGGGAACAAAGGGTAGGAATTAATGGTAAATTCTCAGATGAAGAGGGGTAACTAGTGGTGTTCCCTAAGGGTCAGTCCTAGGACCAATCCTATTCAATTTATTCATAAATTATCTGGAGAAATGTGAGGTGGCAAAGTTTGCAGATGACACTAAACTGCTCAAGATAGTTAAACCCAAAGAAGACTGTGAAGAACTTCAAAAAGATCTCACAAAACTAAGTGATTGGGCAACAAAATGGCAAATGAAATTTAATGTGGATAAATGTAAAGTAATGCACATTGGAAAAAATAACCCCAACTATACATACAATATGATGGGGGCTAATTTAGCTACAACTAATCAGGAAAGAGATCTTGGAGTCATTGTGGATAGTTCTCTAAAGACGTCCAC